CACCTTTGTAACTCAAACTTGCAACTTGCAAGTAAACCACACAATGTTATAACTCAGAAGTACCATCAGCCCCAAACAGGTGTTACTCAAAGAACTGTTCCCACAAAAGATCATTAAAGCTACAAACAGGCATTTTAAATATGAGCATTTTAAAGGAACATCAATACTTAGGAATTTCCATGGTTTATCCCTCAGTCCACACACCCCAAACATGACTTACCATCAACTCCATTGTAAGATGCAGTTACTTCCTGCACCTCCTTCTTGGATCTCATAGGAGCCCAGGATCCATCCTCCTTGAACTGGATTTCATCACAATCTGTACAAAACTTCAGGATTTCCATGAACAACCTGTGCACGAAAAACATTTCATATCAGTCCTGAAAAAGAGATGTTTTTCTCCAGTATTTCTTAGCCAGTGAAAATCTGAATTAGTGTCAAACCCAAACGCTTTCAGTGTTCTTGTTCACTGTGTCACTGGTCTTGGTTTTGATTGTTCAGGCTGAGCACTGACCTGCTGGACAGCAGCTCTGAGGAGAAGGACCTGGGAGTCCTGGTGGACAACAGGATGTCCATGAGTCAACACTGGGCTCTTGTGGCCAAGAAGGCCAATGAAATCCTGGGATGCATTAGGAAGAGTATTGCCAGCAGGTCAGGGAGGTGATCCTGACCCTCTGCTCAGTCCTGGTGAGGCACAACTGGAGTGTTGTGTCCAGGTCTGGGGTTCTAAGGACCAGAGGGACATGGAACTCCCGGAGCAGGTCCAGGGGAGGGTGACAAAGATATTGAAGAGACTGGAGCACTTCACTTAGAGGAAAGGCTGAGGGAGTTGGGACTGTTTAGGTTAAAGACTAAGAGGATTTCATCAATTTATACAAGTCCATGAATAGAAAGTGCCAAGAGGATGGAGCCAAACTCTTCTCAGTGGTGGAAACCAATAAAACAAGAGGCAACAGCAGGAACTGATGTCCAGCAAGTTCCACCTGAACATGAGGATTAACTTCTTTCCTGTGCAGTCACTGAGCACTGAACAGATTGCCCAGAGAGGTCATGGATTCTCCTCACTGGAGATATCCCATAGTCATCTGGACTCAAACCTGAGCCATATGCTCTGGGCTAGCCCTGCCTGAGCAGGGAGGTGGGACCAGTGACCCACTGTGGTCCCTTCCAACCTAACTGACTGTGGGATTCTCCCCTTCTCCCATCTACTTCCTTGCTAAAAAGGAGCCACTGAAGAAATTAAAGTATCATCTAAACTAAAACACATTTATTTCCCAGCACTGAGAGTGGAGTCCTGCAGAGCTCCTGACACAGAACCCTGCATTCCCAAAACAAAGGAAGAATGTGAACTAGCATTTTAAGAAAAATCTCCTCCTTACCTATATTTAACAATACTTAACTGATGAATCTCATCTCTCAGAGTCCTTACAGCTGAGTATTAAGGATTTGTGTTTCCTGCACCTTGCTAACAAAAGCTGAGCATGGGAATCTGAACTTGCAGCCTCTTCTCCTCCTAAAACTTTAGGCTCCTGGCACCACATCACTCCCAGTGGGAATTCCAGCCTTTTGACCAGGACCATTCATGTGGTTCTGCAGCAAAGAGCTTCACTTTAATTAGGGAGTCAGTTCCCTCTTTCCCAGATTGCAATGGTTTCTAGAAATAACCTTCTCTTTGGGATGCTCTAATTAGCTCAGCTAATCTCCAACATCTGCACCTGGCAACACAAGGAGAAACAAGGCAAATGTGGGGAGTTCATTAGTCCTACTCTGTATTTTCTATTTTAGGCTGAAACTTTGAAGAAGGAACCCCTCAGCCCTTTGATCCAAAGCAGAGGAACTGTAGATCTTGGGGTCTAGGAATCCACAACAGCCTGTGCCAGCCCTGAGTGTCTCTCCAGGGGACCCTGAGTGACCTCATACTTCACTGACAGGTCCCCTAAGAAAGCCTCAATCATTTGTGAGGTTTTTTTTCTGTACATCTCTTTGTTTCAGGGCTTTTAGCTTTGCTTTTGGTGGGGTTTCTGTTTGTTTTGGCAATTTTATGTGAGGGGTTTTATGAGTAAAACATGCAGAGTATCCTCAGAAGACTCAACTTGTTCTCTTTATCACACTTGGGAAAGAAGATTCCTATCTGAGACATTAAAATGCAACCTCAGAAATACATACTTGGCATAGACCAATACTAGATTTACTTCTTTCTTTAATGCTTTGCATGTAGGCAGTAGAAGAGAGTCAATCTTTAGGTCACTTTCCATAGATGGCAACTCCTCAGGTGTGAAACTGCACATGGAATTGGACATGCATTAAAAGAAAATACAACATGTGCTGCTTTCACCTAGAGATCATCACTATGGAACATGGAAAAAAAAACATTTCAGGTAGCATAGCTCCAAAATTTCCCTAAGATTGGAAGGAACACTTTTCAGTATTATTAACTTTAAGATTTTATGAGTATAATTCTTCCACAGTGCTGAAGGAAGAGGTTCCTGGTCAGTAATTGTTCTAAACAGCAGAGAAATTAAACATCCCAGTGATTTAAACCAGGTGAAAGCCACATCAACAGGATCTCAGAGCACTGTGCTCTGTGCACCACAGTGAGCAGAGGGTGTGAGGAAGATCGTTTTGACTGATTTTGACTCACCCATCAATGATGAGGTGTTCGTAGGGAGCTTTCTTGTCACAGACAGGGCAAACCCAGGTGGGCTTCTTCTCATTCATCTGAATGTAGAGAGTGGCATCAAAACACTGCAGGTGTGAACAGGTCAGGGCCCTGCAGGGTATGGTTAGCCTCATCTTACCAAGCTGGAAGAGAAAAAAACCCCCAAGATTCTATTATCTCAGGGTTAAATTAACAAACAGAGGGTTTCTGTCTCAAAAGGGGCAGGGACAGGTTGAATTTATTCCAGAAAGAACTCTCATAAATCTGATGGATTAAATTGATTAAAATACACATCACACTGTCCCCTCCTTCCTCTAAGTTTGAAATGGCATAAAAGTTAACAAAAATCACATTTTCAAGTGCATTTGAGCAAGGAAACAGAAGAATACATCCTTCCAGATCCCTGTACCACAACACTGAGGGTCCACTGAGCACCTGTAACATATCAATGTGCTGGATGGACCACAAAAAGAATTCTTCTTTAGTATTTTATCATTAAAGTGCCACAGAATACGCAGAGCTGCAAGGGACCCTCAAGGATCTTTGAGTCCTCTTGGCCCTGCACAGGACATGCCCAAGAATCACACCCTCTGCATTCATTACACAATGCAAAACTGATTTAGACAATGAAAAGCATTTCATATTAACCTGAAATCAAAGCTTTCCTCTCCTCACAAACCCTAAGAGTTGTTTTGTGGCAAAATGCTTACTCTGCAGTTCAGGGGGGGCTTGAACTGCCCACACTAAAGCTAAGTAGAAATGCCTAAACAAGACTTTCCCCACATTAAAACCCAACAAACCTATTCTTTACTAAGGCAGATTACCCTGAGCAGATTGAAGGTGCATCTCTTTGACTCAAAGGAACACAAAGGCTCCGTGTGAGAGGCAGTGCCAGCAGTGGGGGAGAGCAGGAGGACCTGGGCTGAGGCATGGCTGGAGTGCTGCTCCCAGGCAGTATGAGATGGGTGCCACAGGATGGCACTCAAATCTCTCAATATCAGGGAAATCAAAACAATATCAAGAACAAAGGCTCTACTCACAGGCCACTACTTCCTCCATCATGCCTTGTTTGACTGTATCCTCCCCAAGTAGCAATCCCTCCACCCCATTCCCACCAAATCCAGCTAGGAGCTCCCTTATTTTCCTTCCCTCTGGCTGTGTCATTGCCACAAAACTCCCCAGCAGATGGGATGGGGACACAGAAGTCCCTGGGGAGCCCCGGGAGTGGTGACAGAGCCTCAGAGCACAGCAGGAGGTGCTCTATGTGCCATGTGTTTGACATCTCCTCCCCCAAAATCCATGACCAAACACATTATTTCTAGCACATAACCAACCCCCAAAAGCAGCAAAGGCCTCTCTGATCCTTATCTGGTAGGAATTCTTATCTCCCAGATGGTGGGTCAAAGGCTCATTTGTCTTTGGGGCACAATAAGACTCTCAGCTCAGGGAGTAAGGAGAGAAAACCTGGATGGTTCTGTATGGCTCAAAAACAAGGAAGGTCAAAGATGTGTGTGCCAGGAAGGACATAAATACTCATCTCCTGAGGGGGAAAAAAGCAGATTTAAACCTGAAACATTTTCACCAGCTTTGGGTATAAAACGTGTGCCTCAGATTTCTCAGCACAGTTGGATTGAACCAATGGAATCTGCACATTTAATGGTAACAACTTGATGCTCTTTTTGGCTCTGAACCCCCTAGATCAGCTGTGCCACAGTGGCCAAGCTGTGGCAGAAAAAAAAGGTCTAAAAGGAGGGATGCATCCCAACTTGTGGAAAACTGTGCTTCCCAACACATGACTGTTGGATTCCTGCCTGTGGCAGCCAAAGAAACACTGCATTAATTTTCTTTACGAGCACACAAATCATTTCTATCTTCTCACGCTAAAAAATACACCCAAAGATAAAGAAGGGAGCTCAGGATTTGTAAACAAAGCTGTAACACTGGATTTGGAATTTTGGTTCAGTTAAATATTTGGGCCTGCAGCAGAGCCTGTGGATTTATTTATTTGTACTTCCAGGGGGAAAATAAGAACATCGATTCAAGTGGCTCCCTGAAAGGCAGGCTCAGCCCAGCCCTCCTGCCTGCTGTACCTTGGATGCATCCAGGCAGCACTTGATGTGTAGATCTGGGTGTTAAACCTGTGCCTCAGATTTCTCAGCACAGTTGGATTGAACTGAAGGAATCAGCACATTCCGTGGTAACAACTTGATGCTCCTTCCCCATTTTTGGCACTGAACCCCCTAGATCAGCTGTGCCACAGTGGCCAAGCTGTGGCAGAAAAAAAAGGTCTAAAAGGAGGAATGCATCCCAACTTGTGGAAAACTGTGCTTCCCAGCACATGACTCTTTGATTCCTGTCTGTGGCAGTCAAAGAAACACTGCATTAATTTCCTTTACGAGAACACAAATCATTTCTATCTTCTCACGCTAAAAAATACACCCAAACCAGGATAAAGAATGGAGCTCAGGATTTGTAAACAAAGCTGCAAAACCCAGGGTAAAACACTGGATTTGGAATTTTGGTTCAGTTAAATATTTGGGCCTGTGGATTTACTTATTTGTACTTCCAGGGAGAAAAAAAAAGGCACATGGACTCAAGTGGCTCCCTGAAAGGCAGACTCAGCCCAGCCCTCCTGCCTGCTGTACCTTGGCCGGATCCAGGCAGCAGTGGAGGGCAGTTTTCTCTCTGTGGGCTCGCAGGGAGAGCAGGCCTCTGTGCTAAAAAAAGCTCAGCAGCAGTCCAAAACAAATTCAGAGGGAGCTGCCTGTGCTGTTCTGAGGGCAAAGCAGAGCTCAGGAAGGCTAAACCCACCACGTCCACATATTCCAGTGCAGCAGACCCAAGGGAGTCACAGCCCTGAGGGGGGAGAGATGCTCCTAACATTCCCAGAGCTGCAGAGACATCGTTCTTTCATTTTCCATTAGGAAATAACCACAAAATATAGGCAAAACACCTCTCCCTGAGCTTACGAATTATCAAGTGAAAACATGGAGGTTATAACAGAACTACATTCAGACCTGAGGAGAGTCCGAACTAAACCAACAACCTTCCTGTTCCCAGGGCAGGCTGAAAGGTGTAATCTCTGTCCCAATGAGCCTAGAATGGATTATTCCAAGAACTGCAGTGAAATCACACAGCACTGAATGAGGAACACACTGGAAAAAGTCAAGTGTGTGTGTTTTGTACACATTAAAATGGCACAGATGCAAATAGGCTCAGAGTAATCTGCCACAGACTTTGGTTTGTGTGTCTGTCACAAAAGTGGTACATTTTAAAGAGGAAATACAGAATAATGTAGGAATTCTGAAGGGTTACATCCTAATGTCTTTGTTGTTTTACCCCTGGCACAACTCAGAGAGTGTAAAACAGGATTTGGCATCTTTAGGTATTGCCAAACTTGCAGTGCTAAGAGCAGGATTGCAGTGGAAATTCCTGCTCTAATCCCAACCCATCGAGAGAACAAAATGCACCCAAAAGCAGTGCAGAACTTCCATCAGGGCAAACAGAAGTGTGTCAGAAAAGTCCTATGGAATGATCTAAAAAGCAACACTTGAGGACAACTGAAATACAACTGAAGTAAAAATCAGTAATTCTGTAAGATGCATGAAGATAATTTAAGGTAATGAATTAATACATAGGCACTTCCAAACTCTCACAGCCATTTAATTCTTACTGAGAGATTACCATTAGTGTCTGTACTGGAAACTAATTTTAATGGTAAGAACATTAATTATAGGAATACTGTGCCTAAAAAAGGACCAAAAACTCCAACAGGACTATTGTTGTGCCTTCTAAAATAAAAAAGCACTAACAGCACAACAAAAATTCCTATGTATTCCTACATTTTATTCCTACATATTCCTATATTCCAATATAACAACTCAGCAAAACAAGTTGCCATGTGTGGAGTCAAAATGCTTCAGTGTTCCAAACCTGCAGCAGTTTTGATGTGACACAAAGTTCACAGGTTTATGAGGCTCTAAATTCAGGATTTCATTTGGTGAATGTAACCGCTATGTATTTCTTGTATATGAGTTTTATCTTCCTTATCAATGTGTTATTACTTAGTTAGCATCAATGTTGACACGGAGAAAGTCTTAAGATGGAAGGTGATGCCAATATCAATCACATTTAAAGATTTACAAGAACATTCTATATATATAAATATAAAGTAACTACAATGTCAACTGTGCTTTTTATGAGGCAAATTTTATACCTCTATAAGTTTAACTGTTAGAGTTTAAGAACATGAAATATTATTAATTATTATTAAATAACTTCAAGAATAAGCTTCAATTTTGCAAGAGTAAAGTGAGTTTTCTTGTTTAGATTTTAAAGCTGAGAGTTTTGTGTCAGGCTTGAGCACACTGAGCCCAAGCAGGAAACAGATGTATCCTTAATCCTGACGAGAGGTTAAATAGACACACTGCAATGAAGACCTTGTCAGTCAATCCAGAGAGTGTTCTGAGGGTGCACTGCACCTGAAACAGCTCCCAGAGAAGTTCACACCATGGCAATATTGTGTAGGTTGCCACTGATAACAGAATCCAGGTATAAACTACTGGATCTACTTGACAAAAAAGCAGTTAGTAGGTCAAGATACTATTTGTATCAATTCTAACTATTTTCTCCCATTTCACATTTAGATCAAAACAAATCCTGTTCAAACAACCTCTAGGACACTGCTTTGGTTTTAATTTCAGATAATTACACACTCAATATAACCAATTTCAGCTACAAGATGCTCAATGCTCTGACTACACTGGCTGAAGAGCTGCTTTTAGCAGTCATTTTCCCCCAACTTAGCACTGATTTTCCCACACCAAAGCCTCAAACTGCACACTCAGATGATGTGGTGACAGATTTCAATGTATGTTTACATATATTGTGACTAACATCTTCTAGCTAATGGAATGCTCCTTTCCTCAGGGGCACATCACCTGCTGAAGCACAGTGACAGGTAAGTGCAGCACTGGATCCTGCCCCTCAAACTTAACACAGAGGTAAACACAAGCTGACTTGTTCCACGTCACGTCCCAGAACAGCCACAGTGCAACCAGAAGCAGTCTGGAGGGAGTAAAAAAGTACTTACTGGACAAAGAAGAGACACTCTTAAGCTTGTTGTTGCTATTTCACTGTCTGGATCAGCAGTCAGCTTCTCTTTAACTGTTATTTGAGAGAGGAAAAGTTGATTTTGTATTAATTTAAAACACAAATTGGATGATAAATAAAACAATTGTGAAACCATGTGCTAAACTTTCAGTCCACCGTATCTACTGGGAACCAGCAGCAGTGGCTGTTGCTTCAGACTCACACAATGAACAAGTCACTTAAGCAGATTTAGCTCTCTAGAAAGACCATAAACAACAAGATTTAAGAAAGTGAAAGGCAGAAAAGCTCATCTTAAACCAAAATCCCTAGAAAATGTATTTACACAGAGATGTCTCTTCTCATTTACATGAAACTTTGGCCATTATTTAATATCTACCAAGATAAGCCACATTGATTTCACTTCTAACTTCAAGCACATGAACTAAATGTGTTAGAGCAACTCTTACATCCACGATAAACCCTCAAACTACTCATCCTGAGATCTAAAACTGAAAAGCAAATTGAGAAATAGGAAGTCAGAAATACCCTGACAAAATCTGAGTTGTAAATAATGCAGTGAAATATTAGAGTCTTTCATCTCTAGTCTTTCATCTCTACCCCTCCTCGACTTTCACTTACAAGTTTTAGAAGCTCTTCTAGAAGCAGTTACTGGTTAAATGAACAATTCAGTCCCATTTTTAACCTGCTCCATGGACCTACACCCTCATTCTCACCCTGTATACACAGAGCAACAGCCAGATGGAAACTCTCTAGATTTTGGTGCATTTAAACCATCAAACTGCATTAGCACAAGCTAATACCCAGCACTGTGCAGAATATACTGGTGGGCTACTTTCTTCCCCTTTGGAGAAGGCCCTTTGCTGTGTACAACACATAATCTGAGCACTAAAGAGTAAGAACAGTGATCAGGTGTTGGTGTTTTCCCCCTCTCCCTGAAAGCCAAACATGCAGCACTTTTTGCTTCCATTTTTACTGCACAAACTTACACCAACATGTTGTTGTCAGAGAAAACAATAAGGCAGCAAACCTCACACTTCCATTTGGAAGGGGGTTGGGAGGAGCATTGTGCTGGCCAGACTCTCTCTCTCCAGGCTCACTGTGCCAAAGGAACAAACACTGTGTTGCTGGAGCCTTTCCTCCAGCATGTCAGCATCAAGGTTCAGTGTCAGGCATTGAGCTCAGCCTGCCTGAGGTACTGAATTACCAGTTAACTCTCTAAATACAGTTGTTGCATTCTGAAGAAACAAAGCCAGGATGGCTGAACTGAAAAGAGATTCTCTTGCATTTTTCCCTTCCCAGTGTCAACAGGGTTCCTGGCCTGGCTCCTAGTGCAAACAAAGGCTGCACAGGCTTTGAATTGGAACTGAATACAAAGAACACCACTATCAGATTCTCAAACCCCAGAGAACTGTAGGAAGTCCAAACCTCTCTTAGCACAGTCCTAATTCAAATCTCCTCTCCCCAAAAGCTGTTTTCCCTTTGAATCAAGCAGGACATGAGACATACTTAGTGCTCTAGAGTGATCAGGGTTCCGGATTCCTTTCGCTCGCAACCTCTGCAGTAGCACCGTAGAGGACAGCTGCTTCACCAGGTACACTGCCATGGAATAGTTCTGGAAAACACACCAAAAGGTCAGAGGAAAAAACAGTTTTCAGCAACAGACAGCTTGTGGGTTACAAAATGCTTTATGTGATTTGTTCTGGGAGCACTGGGCAATGTGTTTTGATCAGTTTTCAGACTAGGACAAACCCCTCAGTGCTTCAGGGAGTTCACAAGGCTTTGGAGGTTGAGAGATGCAGCATGGCTGAGAATTAGATTAGATGCTAGGGAAACCTTCCTCACTGTTACAGTGCTCAGGCACTGGAATATTGTCCAGGGAGGTGATGGAGTCACCACCCCTAAAAGAGTTTAAGAGGCATCTGGATCTGACACTGGATGATATGGTTTAGGGGTTACAGCAGAGTGGCAGGTTAAGGGTTGCACTTGATCTCAGAGGAAGGCCAAGGGCATCTTGTCCTGGCTCAAGCCCAGTGTGGCAGCAGGACTAGGGCAGTGCTCATCCCCCTGGACTGGGCACTGGGGAGGTCCCAGCTCAGTGCTGTGCTCAGCTTTGGGCACTCACTGCCCAAAGGCCATTGAGGCACTGAGCAAGTCCAGCCAAGGGCAATAAGGGCAGCAAAGGGCAGAGCACATGGGGAAGGGCTGAGGGAGTTGGGTTTGCTTAACCTTGAGAAAAGGCTCAGAGGTGACTACATGGCCCTCTGCAACTCCCTGACAGGGTTGGAGAGAGGTGGGGGATGTCTGTCCTGCCAGGGCTGCAGGGAGAGGATAGAGGGAATGGCGTTGAGCTGAGCCAGGGCAGAGTCAGAGGAGATGTTAGGAGAAATGTTTTCCCTGTGAGGGTGTTCAGGCACTGGGATATTGCCCAGGGAGGTAGTTGAGTCACCATCCCTGGAGGTGTTGAAGAGGCATCTGGATGTGGCACTGGAGGATCTGGTTTAGGGGTTACAGCAGTGACAGGTTAATGGTTGGACTTGATCCTAGAGGTCTTCTCCAACCTTGATGATTCTATGATTTAGCTGCAAAGCAAGCTATTAAACCAGCATTTAGGACACTTCTGGATTACATTTTCAGGACATGCATCCCACACCCCCTTTAGGCACAGGAATTCTACATCAATGTGAGGTGCTGCACTTGTGTCAATGCATTTAAGGGAAGTTATCAGGTCAAATATGATCAAAACTTCGTCTTGCCTTTTTTAATAAAAGTTATTTTGTTTTCAAATAGGAAAATGAGCAGTGATGCCTCTTCAAAAGGAATACCTAAGGAGATGTACCATCTGCAGTGTCTCCTAAGCCTGGAAGCATGGTTCAACTTTCCTTATCTGCCTGCACTTAGCTGTCTCTGAAATGTGAACTTCACTGCTGAGGCAGAACTGAAGAAAAGCAGTTAAAGAGTTCAAGAGTTCAGAGGGGCCAAGATGTGCTCCGAAGAATCAGCCCATGCAGCCAAGAAGTCACCACTCCTGTCCTTCCCCTCCCAGGGGGTTGGGTCACTTCCCACCGGTCTCTGAACTGACCATTCCAGTGTTCCTTACTGGTGTCAATGGAAAGCCATGGATGCTCCCAGCTGCACTACAGGAAATCATTTGGCATCCAAGCAGGTCAGATGCAGAGCACTAGCTCTGCCAGATCCCTGTGAGCAGGGTAAGCCTTCCCTCAAAGGACAAATCCTTCCTAGCACTGAGTCCAAATCACAGCCCAAGATCGCTCAAGTTTTCATTTGTCTAAGCTCTAAAAAAGCAGGGAATAAATGTATCCCTGAAAATGTGACATTGTAATGTGGATTCATCAGCAACATCCCTCAACCCCCAAAATGGGAAGGGCAAAGTTTGTGTTCTCACTTTAGGGTATCACAGAATCACAGACTTGGAAGGGACCCTCGAAGATCACCGAGTCCAACTCCTGGCCCTGCACAGG